AGAGATAGCAAGTGGGAAAAAAACCATAAGGAACAGCAGTACTTCCACCACCTTTGGAAGCAGGGGAAATTATGATAACTGGTTTTCCTATATCAGGATGTCATGAAATAATTGAGAATGTTATAACTGTGCTGTTGTCCCACAGCTAAGTTAATTGAACCATATGTATTATTCAACAGACACAAGCGATAAGGAAATTATGACTCAGTAATAATTCTGTTAAAGTACAAAATATGAGCAATATATTCAAAAGACTGTAGAATAAGATATCGGGATGAAATTCTGATAAAATGGGAATAAGGATCTGCAAACTGGCTGCTGTGGTATTTTTGATTCTGCAAACAGAGTGAACAGCGGAAAAATGTGGTATCGCATCCTAAGCAAATTGCAATGAGTGAGGTTGGAAGGTGGAAGTTTTCCCTGGTGTAAGGAGGCGCACACAAAAGCAGAGACTGAGGTTTTTGTACGCACCCTACCAATGAATATGTTTAACAGCTGTTGCAGTGAATGTAGAAGGTAAATATTTCAGTGAATTAAATCGAGACACATTTACATTGAGATTCACATGGGGATGTTTTAATTGAGAACCTTCAAAACAATTTTAGCTGAAAATGAATAATGTTGAGGCATTATTGGTAGATTTCATTCTGCTTGTTTAGTCAAGAATTGTATGTAAGAACATGAAGTTTGCCATTTGCAGCTACATGAAAAACTAGATTTAATGGGGGGATACTAGGTATGCCTGTAAGTTGGGGAAATGCTACACGAGTCTTCCAGTTCAGGCAGCATGCAGGTACTACCAATGTATCAAGCAGTTTGGTGTGTGAGTGACAGGACATCCTGGTAATAAAATCATGCATTTTGATAACGAAATTTTTAAGAGCTTGCTGCCCACTGTTAGTGATCTAGATTAGCCCTGTGCCAGCTAAACGTTCGTGGTCTCTGAGTGTGGAAAACGCTTTTAGATCATTCATTTGGATATTAACTGGTTATTAAGTGGCGTAAATATTTCTTAGAATGTTCAGTGGTTTGCTTTGAACAGCTGTACCTGCACATCGCAGTCTTGCCATGCATTACAAGTTAAATGCAGTATACAGAAAAAGGAATGTGGTATATTCATTCTTCTCATAAATATTCTTATTCTTAGAGTAAGTATGAAGGGTTAAGGGAAAGCAAGAAGAAGAATAATTATGCATACTGTATAGCAGTCCTGAAACTGATACTGAATGGCTTGACGTACAGTAAAATAATACAATTCTCCTATGGCTATACTATGCACCATTACATAATGAGTTTGTATTTACAAGTGCATTATTTCCAGTACTGAAAGAAAAACATCTTTTTTTTTCCCCATGTGTCCTGATTTAAAGGAAGTGCTGATTGATTTGTTTGTTGTTTTTCAATGACTTGGTGATTGTCTGTTTTAGTATCCAGCAGTATCCAACTTCTTGCAGATAGCCAAAGTTGTCCCTTGACACATTCTGGAATCATGTCAGAATTTGAGAAGTCAAGGGATTTTTCAGCTTGTGTTTTTTGTTATTGCTTTTACAACATTTAAATTAGGCAGCTGTGGCCTTGGGCAATTTTCTGGTTGTGTTTGCAATTGAAGGTATTTGTTAATGTGGTATTGTTCCATAAATATTAAGATGTTATGCCTGCTAGACAAATCTCACTAAATTTGCCTTTCCTGATACTCTGATCCATTGTGTGAAAGCATAGAGTGATATTTCAGATTGCAATGTTTGTATTACTGACTGCTACTGAATGTGGAGAACAAACCAGATGTGTTTAACCCTTAATTTTTAAATTTTTCTTACCTGACATAGAGGTGACTTAATTATCTTTGAACTCTCCAAATTTTTGTCTGGTTCGAAACTTAACTTAAATAAACATCCTCTACTCTAGATTGTCTGTTTTATTCCTCCTTTCCATTTTGTGTTATTTTGGGGAGATTTCAAAGGGAGGCTCCCCAAAGTTCTATTTCAACAAGGATGGAAGGTTTACTGGAGAAGATTCTCGGAGCGTATGAAATCTGATGTACAACGCTATCATCACACTAGCAAGAAGCCAGCTGCAAAGTCTTCCCTTTGCCTTCTGGAAAATGCTTTGTTAATTAGTCAAAAGAAACTGGACTTTGACTCCAATGTGGAAGACTCTTCATCCAGTTTCTTCATAATGCAGAAAAGGAGTGGTGGAGCAACATGTTGCCGTGCTTCAGCTAATTTGGACTGCACCCTGCCGTTATCAGTGAAAAGGCTCTTACTGATACTGGTGGTGCTGGGGACAGGTCCAGTGGCCAGCCACATCTTGTTTGCTGATTTAGATAAAAACCTTCTGAATCCTCTTAAACACTCTGTCACACTCTTCACCAAGCTTATTTAAATGTCACCTTTTGTATATTAAAATAGTTCACTGTACTGTTTTGTATGTGATTAAATTGTACTGTTACAAAATCACCAACAGCTCAGTATCTGTTGTTTTTTAAACAGAATTTATTTTGGATTACATGTGCATCATATCTCCACTATGATATATTCAGCTTTTCAGCCTCCTAAGAAGCAACAGCAAACATAACAACAGAGTCCATGGTTTGAGAGAAAATGCTACTTTTATTGTTTTTTATTTAGTATTTTCCTTACTTGGTTATATTGCCTCCATTCATCTAGAGACAATGTTATATTCTGTTTTCATCACTTATGATTAGTATTAATGAACTTACACTTTTTAATCATTAAATTTGAATAAAATACTAGCTTGTTGGCTCTTCAGTTACTTAGTTGTCTTTTAACTACATGGGAACCGGGCATTCTTTGCAGCACTGTTAAAATGGATTCTGACTGGATTTTCCTACAGACTATGAATTAGTTATAATATTTTGTTACTTCTTGTCATGGTTGGTCTTATAGAAAGTTGATTTTATTGAAAACATTCTGTTCAATAAATTGTCATAACCTTGGTCTAGTACAAAAAATATATTAGCAGTAAAATCTATTTACTGATGCAAATACTGTATAAAGGTATTACCACTTAAAATTTTTGTATTGGTTTTGCTTATGTTTTTAAAAATTATATCTCTTTTTCTGGAGCAATGTTTCTCAACTATATATTGCAGCTTCCAAGGGAATTAATGAAAGACTCAAAGAGTTTTGAAATACATTAAAAAGAATTTTAGATAGTATATGTTAAATATTAATTACATTCATTGTTTAGAGAGAAGAAGCAAAAATAATATACTGACTTACTGGGGGCACCCTCTCAGTTCCTTCAGGATTGGGATGGGAAAAGCACTGATGGGTCCTGGTAGCAAGAAGGAGGTAGAGACGGCAGGGCAGAGCTGACCAGGGACAGAGCAGCTTCTGGAGGAGAGGAGAATAACTGTCTAGGTGCTGCCAGTCAGCACTTACAGGGACTTCCTATTTCCCTGTGTTAGAGAAACTGAGATGCTGTGAGTAAAGATGATTATCTGTTCCCTGGCCAGCTGACAATTTGGGGAAGGGTCCGTAATGACTAATGAGCCTGAAGGAGGATGGTGCATCCCACAAGTTTGAGAAATAGTACTCCAAAATGTATTGAAATATGGATTTTGTGTCTGTTGTTGTTGGTTAAGGTTAATGCAGGGTCTTTTGTGGAATATTTTTGAGGCTATTCCAGTTTTAACGTGTAACATCTAAACTTTCTCTGTCGGGTTATTCCCATGGATGAAGTATTTAACTCTTTGGACCTGAAAACTTTTTAGTTCTATTGCTGTTTCAGCAATCTCACTTGCACTGGCCAGCCTACCAAAAGGGACTGCAGCAGAAAAAAACCCTCTAGTTCTTGGAAGAGAATTAACTCAGTGATAACACTGATCTCCAAGGCATCCAGTTCAGGAATACCTGAATGGAGTTCAGTGTGTGTTGCTGTTTATTGTGCCTGCATAGTACAGTATGGTCCACTGAATGGCTGCCATTGAACTGGAGAGCTACATGAGCTGATTCACTTGCAGGTGCAGAGATTGGCTCAAACTGAACAGGTGAGGTCTTTCTAAACTGCAATGCAAAATGCCGTGTAGATGCACCATACCTGCAGGCCATGTGCTGAGGGCTCTGTTTTTAACCAGGAGGGCCGGAAGACTGAATTCTGTATAAAAGGAAAGCTGAACACCTACAGCACAAGGTGGTAGTTACTGCAGTGCTCTCAGTGTGTTGAGCTACTACCAGTAGATACCATTTGAATGCTTTTACTATGTAGCAGTTCTTTTGAAAGAGTTTACTGATTTATCTGGTGGAGTGGTGATAAATATATTTAAAAAAAAAGTGGTGCCCTATTTTTAAACTTGGATTTCTCCCTTTTTTCCAATTACACAGCTTTTGTGTTTTTTTGGAAATAAGCTGGGGCGTTGACTTTGGCAATGTGACCCAAATATGAAAAAGAGATGAGACATCCTAGTATATTTTGGGACAATCCTACAGGATTGTGCTTCCACTTGTACTGGATTTTGTTATGGTTTCTATCCCCGTGGGAGCTCTGGGTGCCCTGGGAAGGTCTACCATCCCTACCCCATTACCATCCTGTGAGATACCACAGTCCTTCAGACCCTCATCAATTGCACTGTAATTTCACCTGTGAAAGTGTCTGACATGGGAACAGTCTGAAGGAAACCTTTTACATTCTGGTTAACTTGTGGTGTTTTGTGGTAGACTTAATACCTTTTCTTTCTATTGCACTCACTGTTTTAACCACCTTGCCAAACCAAAAGACGAACCAAAATGTGTATTTGTCAAAGATGCACAAACCCCAACTGATTTCCAGCATCTTCCAGCAAACTGTTCTGGAGGACAAACTGAACTGTGTGTCTGGGCTTGTGTATTATCAGGGACTGGTGAAGTGTGAAGTTACCAATAGAATCCTCAGACTTCAGTAAAATAATTTTTTTCAGAAATTAAGCCTATGTCATTAGTATTTAAATAGTTAAGCCTGAGTTTTCCAGGCTGCTGTAACACAAGGGAAATTCTTTACTTGTGTCCTCCAACAGCTGGTCAGGACCACCAGAGGCTCATCAGCCCGTTATAAGTCCAGATCCCTGTCATGCTGAGCATGATTTTCCTTATGTGACATAAACCATAAACTCCTATTGATTGCCACCAGTCTAGTCTCTAGGGCCCCCTTTCCTCTTATGTACCTGTTCATGCAGGTAAGGTAAAGGGCTGTCTTCTTTCTCAAAGTGGAGAAGAGCAAATCCGTCTACGCAGTTTGTCTCCCTCTCAGTTCTCCTACCAGTGTGAGCCATGAACAGCAACAGCCTGAGCTTAGCAAGTGTAAACAGGGTCTAGGTCACCAAATTCTTCTGGCTTACAATGAAAATTAATTCTACAAGCTACTCAGCAAGCCACAAAGTGTCTTGTCATAGAAGTGCAAGGTATCAGAAAGGAAATAATCTGTGTTGCATTAGTAAGTGGTTCAAGAACATCTATGGCTACATGGTCACAGATGAAAATTTAAAGGTTAAGACTTTGTTTCTCTGAAAGAGGGGATGTTTTACCCAGTTTTGACACCAACTTTATTTTTGCAGACTTGTTGTCTTGTTTTAGTGGTTGTAAAGTCCTTTATCTGTCTGATTTTGTGTGTGTGTCTTTTCCTCTCTTCCTGTAAATACTGGCAGTCTTTCATTGGCCTAGCTACGGAATACTCACGTTAACTCTAATGAGCAAGGAAAGAATTTAGCTGTGTCACTGTTTATAGGAGATGGTTTCCTGACATTCACAAAGAGAAAACTTCTGTCAGTTGCTCTACAGGTGGACCTGCGAAGTGTTAACAAGAAAATTTTAAGCATACATTTTAGTATGTTTGAGATAAATAACATCTAACACATCTCTGTTCCTAAAACAAGGCACTGACTGGCTGAATGATGAAGTTTCCTAGGTGGCATGCATTATTCTTACACACAAATGAAAAAAAGTCGTGCAGTAGTGCGGGCATTGCATGATAAGTATAAATTCGAATACCTCATCGCTAGTTTATGAAAGGCCAACATTTTGAAAAAGTTCCTGCTGTTGAACTCCTGGAGTTATCTGCAGTATAAGCATATTGCTACAGTGTCAAGAAATTCTTAATAGTGCTGACAGAAAGATCTTTCTGCACACCCCTTCAGCCAGTATTTAGAGCTTCTCTGCCGTAAATACAATGTGAAATCTTTGTGTCCTCCAGTAGTTATTTAGGTCAGGAATTACATGTATGATGAACTCTCTTTAGTCCCAACAATTCTGTATTCAAGGAGTTGACTTGCAAAAAGATGGAGGGGAAAGAACTATTTCAAAGTAAAACTCAGCATTTCGTTAGTATTAGATTAGTTTTAGGGTAGATGAAGATACTGTTGTACTTACTGTTTTCCCATTTTTCTTCTGCTTGAGTTTAGCTATCACGCAAGCCAAGCAGCCTAAGGCTTTTGCTACTAGGCAGGCATGTTATTAAGGAAAGCAATCAAAGTTTTCTTCTCATTTTGTTTTTCTGCTTCTGTATAGAGACGCCTAGAGTATCTTGCTATAATTTCTAGCCCTACAGTGATTTAATAAAGTCTTGAAATGGATGGTCATTAGCCAGCCGAGATAGTGAAGTTAAGGAAGAAAAAGGGGTGCCTAATTCACGAGAGAGAGAGAGAGATTTGATTAAGAGGAAGAATCCTTTTTGGGCTGGAATGATAGCTAGAATGTGTGATTATTCTGTAAGGATGGTACAATTTACTTACCTGTGAGTACATGTTACTTTGTGAGGAATGTGCCCAGGGGAGTGAAGAGTAATAATAATCTCCTGTTTATTCTGTCTCATAGTGTGTGTGCTCTAAGGATGCAATACCTGATTTTACAGCATCTGCAGACGTAAATTGAAGTATTTATGGTTAATTCTTAAGCTGCAGAGCAGATGGGGGGAGATAACATTCGATTGAATGCCTTTAGTGCCTGATGCACCTTTTACTGTAAACACTAGATTTTTTCTTTACAATGTTAATTTAATTAACGAATTCACTGGATTCTGTATGTTATTTACTCATCAAGATTTCACCAGTGGCGCTACTGATTACTATTTTTGTGGGCATTGGCAATAATCTTGCTGTGCAAAAGGGAAAAAAATGTAATCAGAGGGGTAAATTTTATAAGCACAATACATGTCCATTCGTAAGACCTGTCTCCTTAGCACAAGTGCTTTTTCAGTCAGTTTAAAAGTACATGAAACATTAGATCTGTTAACTGTTTCTTTAAATTTCTGAACTGTAGAATGTTTAGAGTTTTTTCAGACAAAAATGTGTAATATACAGGGATAATCTTGATTATTTCTCTGTGTCTTTGAACCAGCCTCTCATTCCTAGAAGTCCTACAAGCAGTGTTGCTACGCCGTCCAGCACTATCAGCACACCTACAAAAAGAGACAGCTCTGCCCTTCAGGATCTCTACATCCCCCCTCCTCCAACAGAACCTTATGTTCCAAGGTAAAAAAGATAATTTCAGGTACAATTTAATGTAAAACATATTTGTAAAGTAATGCACCATTCTGTTCCTACTCGTTTGTTAGCCTGCCCTGCGGGATTAGGCTGATATTACTTCATTTTGCAGGTGAACTGTTTATCAAGGGTAGATATGTTGAATCAGACCCACAATGGTCTGAATCAGTGTCTTGTCTGCAGAATAGACAGAAAAGATTTGGAAAAGAAGGTTCAGTACTCTATTTTCTCAGATATGGGATAATCTGTTGTCTGTAAATCTCATCCTACTTCAGAAGAGCAAAAATATCTGAAACCCTGAATCTATAGCTAGGAAAAGAGTTCATATATGTCCCCTTGCCTAACATGATGCAAGAAGGGAGGCTGAGCTAAAAGCAAGAAATTTTCAACAAGAGCACTGTTTTGTTCTGCCATAGTGTTTTGGTTTTTTAGATATATTTGATTTGATAGTGTTAGAGCAAATTTCAGGATTGCGTTTTAGTGTCGCCAGTCTGCTAGATTCTGCAGTGACCATGCTGTTCCCTGTAAACATATTTGCTACTCGGTTCTGCCACCTGGAACAGGCATTTTCATCTCTCCCAGGTCCCTGGGCTTGCTGAACCAGAAAAGCAGCAGATCCTCCTTGCAGATTCATCACCCCACCTTCACATGACCTCGAATGATTCAGTATAATTTCCTAATGTACACAGATGTTGCTTTCCTAAAATTCTGAGGGAATTATGGCCTATAATTAATACGGAAGTAGCTACCCAGAGGTCTAGGAATGTATTTAAGAGGAATCAGTATTATTAAAGCTTCCATATTCTTAGACACAGGCTATCATATATCCAGTCAATGTATTTTTAAATTACTTATTGCTTTTCTTTTAGTTAACTTTCTTGGAAGGGTTGTAAGGACAGCATGTCCTTTCTTGTAGCTGAGTTTCTTGTACATGAGTTTTTCTTAAGAATTTCTTATCAGTAACTCTTCCAGCCAATTAATAAGATGTATGACTGGATACTGACAAGACTTTCTTGGGGGCTATCCAAGAGTGAGGTATATGGCAAATTAAATTGCTTAGTACGGAGGTGAAGTTGTGATTCTATGATAAATTCTCACTCTTCGGAGATATGAAAAACCTTTCAGGGCAAAAGAGTGACTTTGCACTTCGTTAGTTAGATAATGTCACAAGCCTTTTTTGAAGCTGTATGCTGAGTCCCATGTTCCTTCCTCATCCCTGCCTTGTCTGTTACGTGGCTTGGTTTTTATGTCTTGAAAAATCATGTTGCCATTTTATTTCAAATGTGACACAGATAACACAGTTGAACTTGCTAGCACAATTACTCTAGTATCTGTCTTAAAGAAGAGAGAAAGAGACAAACAGAATACGTAGTCCTGTTCACTAATTTTTATTCTTCTAATTAAATAAAAACATTGTCAGTCATGACACTTGAATTGTTCATAGGGATTGAATGTGTCTTTTATCTCTCTGATAACAGTATTTTGTTATGCCTGTGTAAATCATAGAATCATAGAATAGTTTGGGTTGGAAGGGACCTTTAGAGGTCATCTAGCCCAACCCCCCTGCAGTGAGCAGGGACATCTTCCACTAGACCAGGTTGCTCAGGATCCCGTACAACCTGGCCTTGAATGTTTCCAGGGATGGGACCTCCACTATCTCTTTGGGCAACCCGTTCCTGCGTTTCACCACCCTCACTGTAAAAAATTTCCTCCTTATATCTGGTCTAAATCTACCCTCCCTTACTTTAAAACAATTACTCCTTGTCCTGTCACAACAGGCCCTGCTAAGAAGATTTTCTCCATCTTTCCTATAGGCCCTCTTTAAGTGCTGAAAGGCCACAATAAGGTCTCCCCGGAGCTTTCCCTTCTCCAGGCTGAACAACCCCAACTCTCTCAGCCTTTCCTCATAGGAGAGGTGTTCCAGCCCTTGGATCATTTTTGTGGCCCTCCTCTGGACACGCTCCAGTAGCTCCCTGTCCTTCTTGTGCTGAGGGCTCCAGAGCCAGATGCAGGACTCCGGGTGAGGTCTCACCAGAGCGGAGAACAGTGGCAATCACCTCCCTGGACTTGCTGGCCACACTGCTTTTGATGCAGCCCAGGATACAGTTGGCCTTCTGGGCTATGAGCGCACATTGCCAGGTCATATCCCGCTTTTCATCCACCAGTATCCCCAAGTCCTTCTCAGCAGGACTGCTCTCAATCACTTCATCCCCCAGCCTGTATTGATACAGGGGGTTGCCCTGACCCACATGCAGGTCCTTGCACTTGGCCTTGCTGAACCTCATGAGGTTCACACAGGCTCACTTCTCGAGCTTGTCCAGGTCCCTCTGGATGGTATCCCGTCCTTCTGGTGTGTCAACTGCACTACTCAGCTTGGTGTCATCTGCAAACTTGCTGAGGGTGTGCGTGATCTTGCTGTCTATGTCACTGACGAAGATATTAAACAGTTCTGGTCTCAATACGAGCTCCTGAGGGACACCACTTGTCACCGACATACTTTTGGACATCGAGCTGTTGACCACTACCCTCTGGCTGTGACCTTCCAACCAATTCCTCATCCAACGAACAGTCCACCCATCAAATCCATATCTCTCCAATTTAGAGAGAAGGATGTTGTGGGGGACTGCGTCAAAGGCTTTACAGAAGTCCAGATAGATCACATCCATAGCTCTTCCCTCATCCACTGATGTAGTCGCTCCATCATAGAAAGCCACTAGGTTGGTCAGGCAGGACTTGCCCTTGGTGAAGCCATGCTGGCTGTCTCGAATCACCTCCCTGTCCTCCATGTGCCTTAGCAGAGCTTCTAGGAGGATCTGTTTCATGATCTTCCCAGGCACAGAGGTGAGGCTGACAGGTCGGTAGTTCCCAGGGTCCTCCTTCCTACCTTGTTTTAAAAATGGGCACAATGGTTCCCTTCTTCCAGTCACCAGGGACTTTGCCTGACTGCCATGGCCTTTCAAATACCATGGAAAGTGGTTCCCTCAGGACTCTGGGATGCATCTTGTCAGGTCCCATAGATTTGTGTACGTTCAGGTTCCTCAGGTGGTCCTGAAGCTGATCTTCCCTTACAGTGTGAGGGACTTAGCCCCTCTGGTCCCCATCTTGCAGTCCATCAACTGGGGAGGGGTGAGTAGAGTAGCTTCCAGTGAAGACTGAGGCAAAAAAGTTTCTGAGTAGCTCAGCCTTCTCCTTGTCTGTTAATACTAGGTCACCATTCTCGTTCATCAGGGAAGTACGCTTTCTTTAACCTTGCTTTTCTGGTTGACATACCTGCAGAAGCCCTTCTTGTTATTCTTAGCATTGCTTGCCAAGTTCAGCTCCAGCTACACCTTGGCCCTCCTGACCTCATCCCTACACAATCAGGAAGCGTCCCTGTACTCTGCCCAGTATGCCTGTCCCTGCTTCCACTGCCTGTGCAGTTCCCTCTTACCCTTTAGTTTGACCAGCAGGTCTCAACTCAGCCATGCCGGTCTCTACCCTTCCTTGCCTGATTTCTTGCTCCTGGGCTCTGAGAGCTCTTGCATTTTATGGAAAGCATCCTTAAAGATCTGCCAGCTCTGTTCTGCTCCCCTGTCCCTGAGGACCGTTTCTCAGGGGGTCCTACTGACCTTGAAGAGCTGGAAGTTGGCTTTCCTAAAATTTAGGGTCCTGACTATACTCAGCTGACCCATATCCCTCAGGACTGTGAACTCCACCAGTGTGTGATCACTGCAGCCCAGGCTGCCTCCAATCTTGACGTCACCGATGAGCTCTCTTGCATTGGTGACCATTAGGTCCCATGTTGCATCCCGTTGGGTAGAACTGTCTATTACCTGGCTTAAAAAGTTACCCTCAGTGCATTCTAGGAGTCTCCTGGATTGCCTACATCTCACCGTGCTACTTTTCCAGCAGATGTCAGGGTGGTTGAAGTCCCCAAGTAGGACAAGAGCCTGGTAGCGCGAAGCCTCCTGGAGCTGGAGTAAGAAGCCTTTGTCAGTAGGCTCACCTTGATCAGGCGGCCTGTAGCAGACACCCACGACCAGGTTCCCTTTGTTGCCTCTGTCTCTGATTCTTACCCATAGGTTTTCGACCTGTTCATGACTATTCTTCAGGGACAGCTCTTCACACTGTCTTGGTTTCTTGATGTAGAGGGCAATGCCCCCACGCCTATTTCCCCGCCTGTCCCTTCTGAACAGCCTGTACCCATCAATAGCCACACTCGAGTCATGGGATTCATCGCACCAAGTTTCAGTAAGGGCGATCAGATCATAGCTTTCTAGCAGCACGGTAGCTTCCAGCTCTTCCTGTTTGTTTTCCATGCTGCATGCATTCGTGTAGAGGCACTTCATCTGGGCAGTTGGCCGTGTCACCTGCACAGAGGAACACCCCTTGTTTCCCTTGGGATGTTTCACAGAAGCTTCCCTGTTGGCTCCTACTACCTGAGGAGCTCCCAGCTCATCTCCACAAGACTTTGACTGTGCTGCAGTGTCCCCCGCATGCCTCTGGGCAACAGGCTGAGGGCCCATACTAGCATCCCATCAATCCAGCCATTGTGTATCATCCCACAGCTTGTCACAGGCAAGCCTGATATGTGCCCCTCCCACTTCACATCTAGTTTAAAGCCCTGTCAGTGAGCCCTGCAAGCTCCTGAGCAAATACCTGCTTTCCCCTTTGAGAAAGGTGAATCCCGTCTGATGCCAGCAAGCCTGTTGCCATGTAGGCCATCCTGTTGTCAGAAACATGGTTTTTGAGAAAATCCACAATAAAAGCCAAGTATTTAATTCTAAGCAATTCACATTAAAAAGTTGCAGAAAGAAACCTGAACCAAAGCATAGTCTTAGGTTTCTCTTTGAATGCAGTTGTTCCATGGTAAAGACCTGTTGCTCCTGAAACAGAAACTGTACTGTCTTAACAGAAGTAGTGCCTTTGTACTGCTACTGGTCATGTTTACCATCACAAAAGTACTTTTTTTGATAAGAAATACGTCTTCTTTTTTGAAGTATTTTTAGTGAATATTCACTGCTCAGCAGCTTTTGAGTGCTGCTCTGGAAATAGAGATCTTCATCATGATGTTAATGCAGTAGTTTGGACCAATTCTGATAAAATCTTATAGTACATATTAGTACAAGCTATAATCTTACAGAGAGATTAAGCTATGTGCATTTGAATTTTTTTATCAGCTTAATCCTAATGACTATAATTCATTTCACAAACCTGTCACATAGTGTACAGTGTTTCTGAATAATCTCTTTTGGCATTTCATCAGGGTTTTTTGTCCATGATTAACTATATTTAAGCATATCTTTATTTTGGGTATTATCAAACTGTTCAGCATCTGTTTCTCAGTTTGTTGTTCCAAGGGAAAGAAAAAACCCAAACAAACCAACCCTCCTTTTGTTACTGGAATAGAGTAAAAGACTTGATATTTTGATGTAAATTATAAAACCCCGAAGGCATGCCACCTTGGCGATGATACCCACAGATAGTACAGCTGCCAACAGACGGATGGCGTGAGAAAGAAGGAGTGACACTTTCTGTGTGCCGGTTATTTAGAAGTGCTGGTTGTAAGTTAGTGCCTGCTCATATTTGTGAAATACCTTTGGGGGTGAGAATTGAAGCCCTCATCTCCCCGAGGACGGTGGCAACTGGTGTTTGCCTGGTGGCTCTGCACTTCTCTCCGTGCCCGCAGTAATGCTCCTTCCAGCTCAGGCTGTCCCCCTGATCGCGGAGGCTTCCTTTTGCCAGCCCCCGATGGTAGCTGTGGCAGCGATTAGCATCGGGCTGTTTTGTGTCAGTCTCCATCGTGTCGCCTGCCGAGGTCTCCCAGCGCTGTCACCACAGAAGGTCTTCCCATGACTGGAGCTGAGCTCATAGCCCCAAAGGTGCTGCACCAGCCCTGCTCGCTAAGCCACCACCATCCCTGCCCTGGGAAAGCAGCCTGGCAAGGTGAGTGTGGTGGTCAGTGGGGGTCTGTGGTGTTGCACTGTCGCAGCGGAGGCAGGATGGCCCTTTCTCATCCTCCAGGGCTGCCTGGATCCCACAGGCGGCTTTGCTTCATCCTCAGAGGGAGTCTCAGGGTGCCACGGGAAGTGTGGGTCGGCACGCTGGCTAGCTCAGACATCACATGGCAGTCCAGAGAGCCGAAGCTCTCTAATGAAGGCATGGAGCCCCAGCTTCTCTCTTGGCTGCCCAGAAATTACTGTCTTTTGCAGCCATCTCCAGACATAGTCCCACCAGCAGATTGACAGAGCCTGGCTTCATCTAGTGCAAGGAGAGGGCTCCTGTTCCAGGCACAGCTTGCTCTCTTGTTTGATGCCTTTGAGTAGTTTGCATTTTTGGAGAGTGGGGTGGGGGTGTGGGGAAGGAAAAAGCAATCATCCTGCAGATCTCTACTCAAACTGCCAAGTGCATGCCTTGCAACGCATTGCTGTCCTGGGATAGCAGCTCACGGTCTGGTGCTACACACCCTATTTGGTACTTCATGGATGTACCTATGCAACTTCTAGGCCTCAGCTGGCTTGTGCAAGACTATGTCAAATGTCTGTATATCATCAGCTCCTGGTTCTTCTTGCTCTGGGGTTAGTTCGTAAGGAACCAGACTGAATTTGTCTGTGCTTGCCGTATAGTCATGTCTTAGAACTATCTGATGCATTTAAAAATGCAAGTATAAAAAAGTAAGGGCAACATATCCTTACCCTAAATCACAAAATGCTAGGTAGATTAAAAAACAAGACAGAGAAAGAGTAGCTGCCCATCAGCTTTCTTTCAAGATTATTCTTTTCAAGAGAAACCAGTAAGACAGATACAGTCTGTAAAGTAAGTAAATAAGCAGAGACGTATGAGATAACTGGCACATACACGCATACATATGCAATGTGTGATCCTGATGTTTGTTGATGGCATCTATTTCCTGCTTGTATGAAATATGGACATATTTCCATGTTTACTGAAATACAATAAAAAAAAAAGTCTTGTCCCAATATATTAAAAACCTCTCTTGTTTACTAAAGGGATGAAAAGGGAAATCTTCCGTGTGATGATGTTGGCAGACATATAGTGGGCAAGCCAGTTCATACAGGATCCGAATCTCCAAACTCATTTCTTGACCAGGAATATCGAAAACGCTTTAATGTGGTTGAAGAAGATGCAGTTTTGTATTGCTACGAATATGAGAAAGGAAGAACAAGTGGTCCTGGAAGGAGAGAGAGCACACCAACGTATGGTATGGCATTGATCTTATAAGAACAATCACCATTTGTTGACTTTAGGATGTTCATGCATCTGCTTGTGTGTTAAGCATGAAAATATTGTCGGTGGCCATTGATTTTGCTAAAAATTCTGTACTACTTTAATCCAATTTCAATCTAAGATCTAATTCTGTGGGGCAAAAAAAAAGAATTACTGTGTGATAGGGAGGGCAAGTCCAGTTTTCTAATGATGATTTTTCTGGATGTAAGTTCTATAATTTTATTACCAGATTGTGCTTCAGTATCATTCTATCAGGAAAAAATGGCAGAGCCCCAGGTATTTATACTGAAAATTTAGGGTGGAATTGTACTCCCAGTATAGGAGCAAGAGTTACATGGGTTTAGAAATTCAGCATTAGGAAAACTTACGCAAGTATAATGAATTTAAAGATCAAACCTACTTCAGATTTATCAGAAGATGACATGCTGCTGTTATGCTTGCACTGCTCTCTAAAACTCTTTAATAATTCTTTAGTGCCAGAAATGAAGTATGACTGATGATGGTATGCTTTTTTTGCAATACTGTATTAATCTCCTGTCACTTTCTATATGGAAAGTGATGATTTCCTGTATATAACAGTTCCTCTTTATATGAGGTTGTATGTGGTCTAAGAAAGAATTGTACATGTAAACACACATGTGTATTCATGCTACTTCCACATCTTGGATTTTGACTTATTTAGGGTGAAAACTCAGAAGCAGTTTCTGGTGAGACTTTCGCTCCTCAAACCAGGTTATTTTCCCTTTGAATCTGTGGGAACTCTTAGCTAGTATTGTAACTTGTTTCAGCTTTGGACGGGGAGAATTGGTTTTCTGTTGCCAAGTATAAAATTATGCAGTCATAGAGTTATTAAGATACAGAAGAAAATGAAAAGGAATCCTCATGTTTAAAAAAGATATTTAGACTACTGTGGTATTAGCTGCACACACTTGAATAATTTTTCACCCTACTTTCTATGTTATTTCAATTTTTAAACTGAGCACAAGTGGTATGTTGGAGTTGTTAATGTAATGCTGACATCATATCCTTTTGAGAAGAAGATGGACTTAATTTATGAGAAAGCGTAAATGTAGTATATCATGCAGCCAAGCTCCAAAATCTCCTGGGAACCCTGATATAAATTGAGCTTGAGCTGTGTAAAGTATCCTTAGGACTTGGAGCCATGTGCTTCCACAACATTAAAGGACGCATTTGCATAAAATGCACCTTTTCTACACAAGTACACAATCCTGCTGCAAAATCCTCCATATCCTTTTGATTTCAAAGTGTTTTCAAGTGTTTTCTAGCAGTGTACAAAATAACGATGTTTTCAAAGTGGATATATCAATTTTATTACTCCAGTATTTCAACTATTACAATTGGTGAATGCAGTCAGTTCCATTAATAGAGATGTACTCTCTGTTCCAGATGTTAAATTTTCATACTGGTGGTCTAGAGTGAAGAAGAGCACATGTCTTCTTCAAGGACTGCCGAATCCGTTGCTTTGTTACAGGATAGCTTTTTTAGCCTTTTTTTCTATTAGCAGAAAGGGTTATAAATACATGGATCAAAGACTGCACCGAAGATCAGTCATTATTTAACACATTTGTTATACAGCCTTTCACTTTTGATCTCACTTCTGTTTTAATGAATTCACACCGAGTCCATTTTTATTTAAGCGTATTTTTTGAAAATATTACCATTTCAACATTAAAATTCTAAAGTTTCCCACATCTTATTTGTTAGCATAAGATTTGTGGCTAGGCATGACCTTAGGATTTCACAGAAATCTGGAAAATGACAACAACACTCTTCTGTCTTATGGTGACCCGTTAAAGAAGGTCAAAACAGAGTTCCAAGGCCTAGAGAAATAATTGGGTTTTCAACACGTACTCATCATTAATTATGTGGTGGTGTTAATTTTTTTTTAAATATTTCTCAGACCTCCTTCATGAGAGGTTAATAGGGCCCTCCATAATTTCTTTATTGGAATCTTTTGACATTTTTTCACAATGTTAACAAAGAGATTTCTCTTTCATGCTCTTACTGGCTTCCAGCTGTTGTAAAATTGTTGCTAATTGGCCTTGGACAGCTTCTGTTCACACACCAAGGAAGACATTCCCCTGTTTAGTCACCAGGGAAAAGACTTAGGCAATCTATAGTGGTTAACAAGAAGGAGATTAGCAGAGGTAGCAGGTAAATGAAACTTAAGTTTAAGGAAAGAAACAAATTCGGTCATTGCAGTTTTACTGCCAGAGACAAAAACCACGCACTTTGAACAGCTAGAGATTTTGCAGAAAATTTGTTATGGCTGTAGCTTTTGATAATAATCAGACTTTACATGCATTTATAGCTTTTGTATCTTTTTAAGTGTGCTGGTCCTTTCAATAAGATACTGTGAGTTCAACCTCACGAAGAAGAGCAAGTTGTATTTCTAGAAAAAGTGACTGCTGAAGGTTACTTCTGATCAAGTAAACATGAACTGAATACATCCGCATTCACGAAACAACTCTTAACTGTGTGCTTTAAATCTCACCACCTTCAATCAGACTTCAGTAGGTGTCCATAAATAGTAAAATAAGTGATAAATAAAAAGTTAAATATATACATCATATTTCCTGAGCAATGATGTATTTGTGACCTGATCCTGTGGTCTGTACAGAACATACACCTTTTTTGGTCAATTTTTTGGTCAATTTTTTAAAAAGACAGCACAATCCTTTACCATTATGCTGCCTGCATGGAATTGTTGTATTTCCCTTGGACACCATACTTCAATAGGTAGATAGACATGTTTGAATATTTGTTTTCATTATAAACACATCTTTCTTTTTCAGTGTGTCATGGATTTAACCCCAGAAATGTGGAATAAGTCTGATCACCTTTTTGTAGGGGTTTTCTACTAAAATAATTAACAAGATATCCGAATTTTTTACTTTAAGCTCTGCTACTTTTTTAAAAAGATTTTTTTCCCACTTTTTGGTTTTGTGACCAGTAGATCGATTCAAAAAAGAGTGAAGGTAGACCTTGTTATGAAAACATTTTGGTTTTGGTCTGCCAGATATTGTCTGTATGCTATGCCACTCTATATTTTGTTTCAATATACTGTTAAACTTGTTAAAATTTCAGACCACTTTAAGTAACCCCATGAAGTTACATAGCACAGTTTCACTGAATTTCCAACTATATTTGCGGAATCCTTAAGTAGAAATCATAGTTCACAGCATTTTTAAAAATCAATCCAGCAGCTTCCAAATCAAAATTTAAAATATAATAGTCTTCAGCTTTTCTGTCTCTTGCTGCCTGAAATCAAAGTGAATTTACCAATAGTAATGTACTTTGCCTTCTGTGGATGAAACGCTATAAAAGAAAAGACATGTAGGGGTTTTCTGCTTTCTTTCATATTCACTGATGGATCTTTTAAGCCCACCAGCAAAGATGCTATTTGTGAAGGTACTTTAGTGATGTTGACATGTTTCTGTTACCAACAATTCACATATGCTTTAAAACAGTTCTCCTCACGTGTGTGCCAGGGGCTTCCAGAATAATAAATAGATGTTGTTCAGTGAAAACTAAAGTAATTTGAATGCGTTTGCCAGTCTCAAACGTCAGTCCACTGATGATTTTGTAGGGCACGGGATTTATTTTCTAAACTTAAAAAAATCCTTTCAATACGTAACTGCTTCTTGTCTGTTAAAGAAAACAGAACTCATGTCTTAACCTCTTGTTCAGAGGTGATGCTGGATCCTCTTTCATAATCAACCCTGTAGAATAGCAGCTTGGAACATAATTCGTTCTTTCTTCTAAAGAATGTTAGTTTAATGCTGCCTTGTGGTGCATGATCTCAATTTTTTCCTCTGTTTCCAGGGAAACTAAGACCTATTTCTATGCCAGTAGAGTATAACTGGGTGGGGGATTATGAAGACCCCAATAAAATAAAAAGAGATAGTAGGAGAGGTAAGTGATCTGAATACACATCTTGTTTTAGGTTCTTTCATTATGTATAATTTTTTTGCTGAGCCTCTATTAGGATCAAGGAAGTTGCTCAGCTAGGCAAAAGAAAATCATGACTGCAAAGCCCTGCAGTTTGGCTTAACTTTATATTGGCATTTCATTGATTCAGCTGTATTATCCAGTCCATTTCGAAACTGGCCTTAATTTTGTAATACTAGAGGACAAATGTATGGTTATTACTGGATAAATAGTGTTATGCTTAATTAAGAATTATATATCACATTTCTCTGTGGTGATGAGTTCTTTTTGGATGGAAAACATTCTAGAACAGGTTGGGATTCACCTCAGAATCGTCAAGGATAAGTTCTTCAAAATACTGGTTTGTGAGACTCAGATACATAACTTCATATACACAGTGATAACCTCTGAGATGGCTGTTATCGCCCAGGAACAAAATGTTACAGTAGTGATAGATATTTCCATAAAAAATATTAACTACATGTTCAGTAGGGATCAAAAAAGGAATTCACTATTAGGAATTACTAGGAAAAGAACACAAGACAAATTAAGAAATATTTTTGTGTTGCTGGGTAAGTTGGTGCTTATGCTGGGTGTGTGTGCAGTTCTGATCTCTTCATCACTTAAGAAAAATGTAGTAGAATTGAAGAAGGATTAGGAGATAACAAAAATGATCAGATGTATGGAGGGGCTTCTAAACTGGGGTCAATTCAGTAGGCTGGCCATCATCAGTTTGGGAGAATTTAGGCAGGACGTAGTAAAGGTTTATAAAATCTTGTGTGGAATGAAGTAAGGAAATAGGTCTGTTACTGTTTTTTCTGAAACAGTGCCAGAGAAACATCAAATGTCTCTGTCAAGTGCTGGTTAAAATAAAAAAAAGAGCTGACTCCTTGTGCAGTTTCGGTTCAAGCTAAGGAACCTTTTGCCAAAGAAGATTGTGGATACTGAAAGTTCATGTTAATACAAGGAAAGACCAGAAAAGTTCGTGAAAGACAAATCTGCTGAGGTTTCCTAAATTCACCAACATTGCTTCTGGCTCAGGATGTCCCTCAGCTACAAGCTGGTAAATGCTGGAAGAGTATTTGGGGAAAGTATGGATGATACGGTGAACAATCTCAGATGAATGTTCAAAGCAAATTACTTTTAAATGTGTGGCACCACAGTCATTTCCATTCATTAGGATCTTGTTTTTAAAAAAGGTTACAAATATGGTAAGTGTATCATTACTCATTTTTTGGAAGCTCCAAGACAAAATTCATTGATGTGGGGCTTAATTTTATATTCTGTTCCTTTTATTGTGAAAGATACCAGAAAACTGCAAGAGTCGTGAATTTTCCATACCAAAAGATTGCTTTCTTATTATATCCAGACCAAAGAAGCAACTAGGTTTTGTTAATGAAATAGTCTTGAAGAGTTAACATTGACAGTAGATCTTAGCAAGAGTATTATGTGTTTTGGAAGCAGGATTAATATGCATACAACAATTCACAATGATGTTTTGCATTACTTTTCTTTCAACAGAAAATTCATTGCTTCGCTATATGAGCAATGAGAAAATAGGTCAAGAAGACTACATGTTTCAAAGGAATAGCAAAAAGGATACTGGGAAAAAGTCCAAAAAGAAGGGAGACAAGAGCGGTAGTCCAAGTCATTACTCGCTGTTGCCTAGTTTACAAATGGACTCATTGAGGCAGGAAGTCATGGGCACACCTGGACCAGAAACTGCTTTGTACCACGTGAGTAAAAATAATATTAACAAAAGCTGTTGCTCTGTGCTTGTGATGAGAGACTGTTGTTTTTATAGTGGTGCTGAAACCTTTTTTGGACTCTTACTGTTGCACTGATTCCTAGTCTTCAGACAATAACTACATCTCAAAGAACTGTTTTAGAATTATTTTTTGCTGTTACAAATGGGAAGTGGACACCAGTGTTTTATCTGCTTTAATCAGAAGATTTGAAATGGAGTGCGGTACCTCTGCCTTGACTGACTTGCTACTGATGGAAAGGGAAGAAGCAGCAGTTTCCAGACTGGCTAGAAACCTTCTTTCCAGCATCTTTGTCACAGCAATATGCTAAGTCTTATCAAACAACTCTTTTACTACAGGTACTTGAAAAGCTACTAGCAAAGATATGTAATTTAGATTGCCAGGGTCTAAGGGAGATGGCAGTGTGGGCTTGTCAGGAAGTCTGCTGTGAAAAACTGACAGGTGGAGCTTCGCTGAACCTTTAAGAGACAAGTAGCTTGATTTTCTGTTGTAAAGCATCACTATGGTTATCACCTTATAATTGGGGTAGATGAAGTGAAACTAATGGAGCCTTTACATCCTTTTACACCGTCTGAGTGCTTGGTCCACTGGCTTCTAAAACTCTTTTGTGTGCTGCAGTGTATAGATGAGTCTGATAAATTTCAATATAGTATTAAAACTAAGCGTTTTGGTGCACTTTTATTGAATCAGGTCCCCAGATTCAACAACTGTTATTCCCTTTCTTTTTCATTTGTAGAAATTTAGGTATGATGATAAACATTTTTTCTTACATTATTATTTCCAACTTCAGTTTTATGCTCTTTTTCTAAGTTGAAGATCTGATAGTGGGGAGATTTCCATTTGCAGAGGCAAACTGATATACAATGTTTCCCTAACACACAAAGCCAAGGAGATTGCAAGTGTCCCCAAACTGTCCTCTTTGTATTGCCTGCAGTTTTTCCTAGAAGGAATCTAATCAGTACAAGAGCCCATGAAATCAAGTAGTTACAGAGCAAAATAGAAAAGTTATTTGTGTAATGGAGAAATTTCCACTCTGTTGTGTGTGGTCAACTTGCAACACTTTCCATGTATTGAGAGAATACGCATTTCTCAGTAACATTTCTTTGCCAGTATACCTTAAATTGCTGACAGTGTGGAGTGAGAAAAACTTTTTTTTTTTTTTAAGGTGCCATCTTTGTTTTTCCTTGCTTTCCTCTATTACCTGTTACATCTGTTTTCCAAATTGTGTACACAAATAAATGATGCACACAGGAACTGAAAGTTTCTTCAAAATTCCGATGTGGAATTTAATGAGCAATGTCAAACAGAATTGACAACCGGCATTTTTCATGTACTTTGGATACCTGTCCACAAAACACCTGAACTATTAACACCACAGATTTCACCACTGTCTGCTAATCCTTTTTGTGCATCATTACCATTAGATGTCTCTCTCTATAATGCCATTAAATCTTCAGCATCTTTTTGGAAGTTTAGTGGGAACTTGTTTATTTATAAAAATAAGCAAAGGTTATTTATTCGTTCTTCAGAACACAGATGAGTATTGATCTGCTAACCAGCTTTGAAGCAAAATGCATTAAATAAACAGAAAGAGGAAGCTGTGGCCATGGATTTGTCCCTGGGGGAATGGGAAAGAGCCCTTCACAAAGCATTTACAGCCCTCTGCAGCTGATAATTGCTGGTCTCACTGCTGGAAGCCACCTGGCTGCCACCGTGCAGTACAATACAGTTCCCCTTTTGTGATACTGGCACCCAAGCATACTGGCTTATGAAACCCTAATCTAGTTTGCAAATGGGGCTCTGTATCTTTGCCACATAGCAGAGCCAGAGGTTTTGTAATAAATTGGATGGAACTTTTCTTAAAATCTCAAATAAACAGTGCAGTGAGCAGATAAAGAACAGGGGAATGCAGATAAAACACAAGGAACTCGTATCTGACTGCAGTACAACTTTATTAAACTATAGATAACAAATAGGACAAGGAAAATATACTTTATGCTCCAATTGCAAATTGCGTCTTAAAGATCACTAAAAAATGGTTATCCTGTAAGAAAATAGGTTTTTACAAGCATCAGCTACCTAGTTTTTACAAAGACGTTGGATTATCTAAATGGGAGCCTCTGGATGAACATGAGTTCAGTGCAGTGGTACGGTGGTAACTCCAAAAACTGCACAAATAGCAGTGAAAAAGACTGGGGTTTTTGATTTGGGTTTTGGTTTGGTTTTGGTTTGTTTTTTTATTTTCAGAAGTTGATGTTTTCATCATACTAGAGTATCAGATGAAGAGAGAATACTGTGACATTCTGCGCTGCATGCCACAAGCCATAAGTGGATTTTGATGAAGTAAAGTTCAGCTCCTACCAAGTAGCTGTATTTGGACTTGTACTTAATGGTGCCTGAGTTGCTTGTTATAGGTACCAGTACTAGTGAATACTGCACAAAGCTTGTTAAATAGTTCCAATCTCTGGTTGCCCTTGTAGAAACTTTTCAGCTGTTAGCTTGTGTTTACCCAGCTTTGATGTCTGACCTTAATTATAAATGTACCTTTGTCCTCTAGGTTTATAGGTCTTTTGTGACCAAATTTTATCTCCCAGCATAGGAATTTACAGGTTATCATCAAATCACTTTGTAGCCTTCTTTTGCTTAAAAGCATCCTGAGTTTGTCTTCAGAGGGTGTGTTTTCAGATCCTTTCATCATTCTTATAATTCTTTCAACTCCTTGCATTTAATCTTAATGTGTCCTAGGTACATTAAGCATCCTTCCTAAAGTATGTATCCCAGAACAGGACATAAATTTCTAGGTAATATAGATAATATAACCTAACCTTTCTGTTCCTGTTCACTACCTCTCTATTTAAATATTTAAAGGACTGTTTACCCATTATAACCATAGACTTGGAGCAGGAATATGTCTATTACGTGGTTTTGGTTTTATTTTTTCTGTAATGTCACTTTTCCAAATCACTCATTTGCAAGACTGGTATTCCCAATCTAATAATTTATATCTTGCATTCTTTGTTCTGAAATATATAACATTATGTATGGTTGGCCATGTTGAAACATATGACTTCTTGGGTATGCTACCTGAATAATCTGTGTCTCTGAAGCAATGTTAAGTACAAAATACCAGAGAGTAAAGGCTCTGGGACCTCAAATTGGTACCCCAAGTCTATAACATGGAATATTGAAGCTCCAGGAATCTGGGGTCTGCTGTGGAATGGAACTACCAAAACCCTTGTTTTGAAATTATCTTTTCAATATGCATATTCTGTAAAATAAAAAACCCCCACACATTTAATTTCTTTATTTTTTTCTCTATTTTCTTTCTCTTTTTCTGAAGTCCCTGGAATAGAAACGGTGCTGCTCACTCAGCATTCAGGTCTCATGTCATTCACCGGTCTTTGATTTTGTGTTACATATATTCAATGATGTTTTCTTTCTTTTTTGAGTCCATTGATATAAATGTTAAATAATTTTGGACTAAGAGTGCATCCCACTAGTTAATGATGAATTCTCCTTACAATTCCAAGCCTCTTTCCATTTGAATTTTGCAGCCATTGATGTATGCAGGTTGATTACCTTTTTACTGTGAAGGTTTTCTGCAGAAAAGCAGCTTTTACAATTAGGCTGACTTGCTTCTACTGCTTTTATATATGGCTCTATAGAAAAGAAAAATCTTTGATTAAAAAACTACACTGATGAATTGAATTACTGCAACAGAAATGGTATGCTTTTATCCTGTAAACAAAGTGGATGAATTTAAAAAATGCGTGGTTGTTGTTTATTTCCTAAAAGTTATTTTGAAAAATGCCAGCAGATTCGAATCGTTATATTCTGAAGTGATCACAAGAATGTGGCAGTGTAGCATTTTCCTGACAGTCAGTATACTAAATTTGCATAAAATAATGGGTTTTAACAATTTTGTTTATATTGTTGACCTGCCATTACAACCAAAAACTGTGTGGTCAATGGAACGTTTCATTTCTGGCCTTGAAAAGTGAACTGCGCTTACTTCTGTCCACTGAACATAGCTGATATAATAGCAAAAGAAAAACTTATTTGTGTTTTGGTTTTTTTTAATCCTCACATACAAAGTCTCTTCACCACTTTGCTTTGTTCCCTTTATACCTTGATTTCTAGCCAAGTTGTTGTTTTTGCATTCTGTTTTTCTTCCTCAGTATTGCAAAAGAAATACTAACACAGAGTGTTAATATTTTTATTAAGCCAAGGCAAACTGTTTGAGCTTTTGCTAATGTAGTGTGGAAGTAGGTGTTCAGTGTGATCTATTACTGTAGATATAAAATGGTGCAGTTAAAATTGTGTTGGACCTTTGGGGGCACAAGAGAGGAAAGCTCTGACACATGATCATCATTTTTTAAGTTCATTATGTTGTTCTGTATAGGAATTTCCTTGGCATGTTGTGCTTTGTTTTCGTTGCAGGAGAATAATGTGATTATTTAGGAGGGAGATAGTGTCATGAGTCAAAAGAAGTTCCTCATCAGGTTAAGAATAAGCTGCTCCTATCTGAATCAATACATCTTTCCCTTAGTCTAGAAACAGCATTGCTATGGGAAAAAAAGGTTGCAGCTTGTTGTAGGGAGCTACACAAGAAAAAGCAACCTTGCTTACAAACTGTTTCCAAAGGTACACCAATAATCTTACATTATTGACCTTGTTCCTTTGTTCCTTCTCCCTTCCTACCTCCTATCCCTTTGCCTTTTCCAGTGTATGCTCGCTTGTTCGTATGTATTTAGCAATACCTAATGACTTACTTGTCATAGGAAAAGTGATCAAAAAGTACCAGCTTCTGACTTTGCTGATAACCAGCCTAGTTAAAATTGTTTAATTGATTACAGTAGTTTTTGTGGTTATTCTAATCGTATTTGAAAATAAAGTAAGTTTAGTAGCAAGATGTACCATTTAAAGTTCAAACTTCCGGAACAGGTGGCTCAGGAACGGATGCAGGAAAG